TGAAAATTTTGGTTAGTAGAGCTCTAAAAGGTAGTGACCGTTGATAGTACTAAGATTTGCAACCACCATTTCCTCCAGTAGTATGTAGCATAAATCCAATTTTTATCCAACTTCAAAACAATATAAAAAATAAGCATTAAAAATTGGAACAGCATCATAATGTCCTCTTTTTGGAGTGACATTTTCTACTATAAATCAGTGGAGAATACGAAGGTGGGGTTTCAAATGTCTTTCTTGTAAATTACAGTCGGTAAAAGTGACTCTTACAAATTGTAGTACAAACTTCAGTTATATCACCAACAATGTTAACCAGGTCAGACTCACTCTAAAAATGGATTTGCAAATCCCCTAGCTGAACTCCAATAATTTGGGCCAAAGTGTGGCTGTTCAATGTGATTATTTTACCTTTAACATAAGATGTCCGACTATTCTCTCCAACTTCTCTCTCAGTAGGTGTCAAGTGAACATAAAATAAATACAAAAGACATGGATATACCTTTTGTGGTAAATTGATTAAATTTAGCCACTCCATTGTCTCAAGTTTGTTCATCAACAGAGGCTCATATTGACGAGAGAGATTTACCCTTCTCCCGGTGACAATTGGTCAGTTGCAAAATTGTTGAAAAGCTTGTTCATGATTGTAAGTGAGAAAATCAATAGTTGGATAAGCCTGTTGTTGCTGTTGTTGGCATGGTGGAGGGTTAGAGGTTTTTTCATATTCTGGTCTTGCTCTTTTTGTTGCCTTCCGAAGGTAAGCAAAAGGTATGGAAGGTTTCGGCTGCTGCTATGAGGAAATAGTGTGCAAAAGGTCAGAAGCAGGATAGCCAAATGAAGCTTCAGGTTGAGCCAAAAAAAAAAAAAGTGTGAAAAGGTGGAGTCGGGGGACCGGCCGAAAGACCCCCCGATTAACCGCGCCAGTCGACCGATTCTGTGATGAATTCGACTCCTGCTACTGTTGTGAAGCTCTACTGCTGTTGTGAAGCTCTAAACTTGATCAAAGCTCTTTCTCTCTTCTTGTTTTACACGGATATGAGTTGTAAATATATTGATTCAACTTGTGAAATTAATTTTAGAAGGCGGTGGACTAAATTTGGATTCGGGTGCTATTGTAAAGCTATGAACAAAAAGAAAGCTCTTCCTCTCTTCTTATTTTACACCATAAAGATTTGTAAATATATAGACTAAATTTTTGAAATTTATTGAGGTAGGTGGTGGGCTGAATTTGTGAAACTAATTGAGGTAGCTGGTGAAGGAGCTGGTTGAATGTTTTAGGTTAGTGGTGGTTGTATTGACACTATTCAACGATAAAGATAAATGAAAAATGGTGAAGAAGTTGCAGAAGGCATTGAAGTAATGAAGTTGTTGGGTGTTTTGAAGTCAGGCTATGAGCCTATTGTAGCCTCAGTTTCACAACATTCCAAAAGCTTTAATGTAGCATCATTTTTTGTTTTTTTCTTTTTCTTTTTCTTTTATTGGAAACTGAGGTGTTGAGGTTTGGCAGGAGGGGCCATGGTTGTGCAGAGCAGGTTTGTAGGTACATAGGGTTTGGTTAAGAGTGTTCATGGGTTTGGTTCAGTCATCACGTGAGGCACAATAATATAAATGATGAAGGTACATAGGGTTAAAGGGTTTCCCACGAAGATACATAGGTTTATAGTTTCTCACACAATTGATGAAATTTAGCAAATGAAAAAATTTCAATAATATTGAATCATGTGTGATAAATTTTGTAGATACTAATGAAATGATATTCTAATTTTTGTTTGACTCGCAATATATATGATACTTTCTAATTTTGTGGCCATTTATTTGAAAATAACAATATAATAACTAGCACATTTTGTGGCAGTAATTATTAAAAATATAAAAATATTTTAACTGAAAAATATTGAAAAAAACATAATTCGAATAAAATATACAATCATAAGTTTGGTATGATTAGTAATTGAATATTTATTGGCTTTTAATATTTATTGTGATCTACATGTATAATAGCTTTTAATATTTTTTGGGCATTTATTTGAAAATAACAAAACAATAAAGAACAAATTGAATATTTATTGGCTTTTAATATTTATTGTGACCTACATATCTAATAGCTTTTAATATTTTTTGGCCATTTATTTGAAAATAACAAAACAATAAACAGCAAACTAGTTGTGACAAAAATTATTAAGAGTATAAAAATATTTTATCTGAAAACCAAACCAAACCATGCCTTATCTGAAAAATATGAAAAAAAAAAAATAATTTGAACCAAATACACAAATCAAAATTTATTTTAAATTAGTAATTCAATATTTATTCTGAAAAAAAAATTATTTCCTTTGTAATATTTTCAATTAAAAAAAATGATTAATGTTATTTTTTTTTATAATTAACTTTTTGAATTGAATTTTAAAAAGAGTTTGCGCGTGAGTTTTGATCAGAATTTTCGATAGAATTTTCAGTAGTGTGTTTGGTTATGAGTTATAACAATTTTAAATAAGTTTTGAAAATTATTTCCAAAACTCGTAACCAAACAAATTTTCTTAGTTCACAGGTCACATCAAACATTCAAAACTCAATTCTACGCTCAACTCAAAATTTAATTCAAAATTCTTTTTAAAACTTATAACCAAACAAATTTTTCACACTCAAATCATAATTTCAAAATTCACAAATACAAAATACAACTCAATTCTCAAATCATATTTGGAAAACTCTATCAAACGCTAGTATGATTAAGCTAATTATACACGTCACATCATAGTTCAATACAAATACTCAAAAATAAATCAAAAGTCACATACAAAAGCCAAAATATCTCACTCATTTTCACTTTGATAAGTTTCTAGTATTCTTACCGCTCTCCAGTGATCATTCCATAAACACAAAACATACGTCTAAAAAATCTCTCCAAAAAACCATTATCAAAAGAGGACAAATTCAAAAATATATATATATATATATATATAAGAGGCGCTTAGCTGCTTGATATTCGTCTTTTTTTTTTATTTTACCCTTTCATTTTGAATAATTTACTAATAATGGCCTATATGTTGAGTGAAGGTTTTTTTTTCATAATTACGTAAGTATTCTTGGTCAATTATGCAACAGGTTTTTTCGTAATTACACAAATATTCTTAGTCAATTATGAAATAGGCTTTTTTCATAATTATGCAAACATTCTTGCTCAATTATGAAATATAAATATTTTATTTTTTGACAAATTACAAATACACTCATAAAAGTTTGTTTAAAATATGAATCGGTCCTATAATACTAGAAATTACAATTATCATTTGTTAGGCGCTTAGTTGCTTGAGGTTCATCTTTTCTTTTCGATTTTGCCCTTTCATTTTGAATTGGTATAATGAAAAACAAAACTTGACACGATATTTTTTATAATCAATGAAGAGTAAATTTATCTGAATACCTTAAGAAAATAATAAAATTATATATTTTCAAGTGTGTTTACATATATTGGTTAAATTTATATTTGACGATGATGATTAATTTTTAAATTTCAGCTTAACAAAATATATATTATAATTTTTATATAAATGATAACAAAAACCATTTGTTGAATGAGTATTATAATAGCTGACGATATTCCTCTTTCCCAAGTACTAACCAATATGATTTATTGATCAAACCACTTAATCCCATATAATAATACTACAATTTTATAAATTTTACTTCAAATTTTATTCAAAAACATTAATTTATGATTTCCAAAATGAACCTCAATATTTTGGGAAGGAGGGAGTATAATTTAATTGATCAAACTGCTTTATCCCATACAATAATGCTACAATTTCTAAATTTTACTTCAAATTTTATTTAAAAATATTAATTTATGACTCAAATTCATTGTATAATTAGACTCCATGTTACATCAATTCAAAATCCATAATTTTTTGGGGAGATTTCTCCGGAACAGTAACATTTTTGAATATCATATTTTTGTCTGTAGAAGGCCTGAGCCACAATTGACGCAGTGGAACACACAGGAAAGTAGATATCCTTCTAATAGATGAAAAGGGATCGCGAGTTCATGAAAAAAATAAAACATTAAATCCATAAAGAAGAGACTTCAAATTTTATTTAAAAACATTAATTTATGACTCAAATTCATTGTATAATTAGACTCCATGTTACATCAATTCAAAATCCATAATTTTTTGGGGAGATTTCTCCGGAACAGTAACATTTTTGAATATCATATTTTTGTCTGTAGAAGGCCTGAGCCACAATCGACGCAGTGGAACACAAGGAAAGTAGATATCCTTCTAATAGATGAAAAGGGATCGCGAGTTCATGAAAAAAATAAAAAATTAAATCCATAAAGAAGAAATTTTTTTGAATATTATTGAATAAAAGTTGTTTTACAGAAAGACATATATCATTATTTATAATAAACGAAACTATATAACGCTAACTCCTTGCTACACACAAAAATAAATAGAAAAAAAATCAAAAGTTGAAAATTTGAGTTAGGACCAAATCTAAATACTAGGAAACATTAGAAACGCACCAAAACAAATGGTACTAAAAATAGACTTCTCAAAATAAAGACGAAGCTTTCTTAAACAGTAACATCACTAATTTGGGGTCTCAACGAAGGAAGAGTAATATTACGTATCATGAAAAAAATATTATGAAAATGATCATGAAAGATTCTCCACTGTTAGATTACATATATAAGAAAACATCACACACTAATTAAGGAATAAAAAACTTTATGAAATATTTTATGATATTTTTTTTATAATCCGTAGTATTATTCACAAAGCAATTTGGTTGAAATTCACCATGCATCATCGCTAGGGACGAGGATGACTTTGATTTAAAATGTCAATTCTGATGAGATTATTAAATTTGAAATAATTCTAAACTCGTCACAAAAATGTCACTATTACTCAATTTGATTTCTTCCCCACCTTTTGCCGGCCTAATTATTCCAAGAGTTCCTCAGCTACCTGTTCTACATCAACAATTCACTGCTAGAAACAAATCTACCTACTTATGTGAGCAATGAACAAATCCAAGTCCATCCGAGAAACACCACCTTCCTTCACAGACAGCCTAGTGGCACCACCTAGTTCCTCAGCCTTCTTCCTCATCTCTTCCCCTTCTTTTGATGCCATTAATGTTTTGATAGCTTTTGCAATGGTTGATGAACTCACTATCTCCTGTTGTGCCCATTGATTAACTGGAATGCCAACCTTCAATATGTTTGTTACCAGAAAAGCATTAATGGGTTGGTCAAAGTTCATAGGCCAAGTGGCTATAGGCACTCCCATGGAAATACTGTCCAAGCATGAATTCCATCCACAGTGACTCATGAACCCACCCGTTGATGGGTGCCCCAAAATTTGTAGTTGAGGTGCCCAATCTCTCACCACCATTCGAGCTTCTTTCATTCTCTTTTCATACCCTTCTGGCAGTTCACCTCTCTTGACATCTTCTGAAAAAATGGATCCCTCATCTGCATGTCTGAACACCCAGATGAACTTCTGCTCACTTTGTTCTAACCCAATTGCAAGCTCTTCGATTTGTTCGTCTGTCATTGAAGTTGTCGATCCGAACGAAACACACAACACAGAATTTGGAGCTTGCTTATCAAGCCACTCCAAACATTTGTGTTGGCCTTTTGAATTTAAGCTATCATATAAGTTAAATGGCCCAATTGCCCATTGTTTCTGGTTTGCAGCAATGTGTTTCTTTACTAACAAATCGATATGAGGACCTTCGATTGATCTGCATGAATTAATGATACTTCCAGATCTAAAATCAGAGTGAAGAATTGAAAGATTTACAAGCTCAGGTGCAGTGACACCTGAATCTTGAATAGATGGCACCCCTTCTGGTACTTGTTGCCGCTTCTGGAAAGGTTTTCCCATAATTTTCCATCCATCGAAGAAACTGGTGATCGCAGAAATGGGATTAAAAGCAAATGATTCTACATTTGGTAGAGTAGCACCGTCTTGAATCACATAAGCCATGACGACATCGTGGATGATGATAACTCTTCTGGTTGTGGGAGATATTTTTTGTAAGAGTGAAGCTACGGGTTGGCGGAGATGAAAAGAGGATTCAAAAGGCGATGGTGAGAGATTTGGAGAAGTGGGGAACTTCTGGAAATAAATGAAGTTGGAATTAACATCATCAATATGGTTTCTTGTGCCATTGAAGCGTTTTTTGACTTGGTGGATGTGGGTGCCCCAACAGGCATAGTGAACTGGGAATCTGGGATGTTGTAGGAGGAGATGAGACAGGAGAGTTCGAGGAGCTGGTTTAGATGGCTCTGGGATGGAAAAGGCACCATGATTACAACCACTTGTTCTTCATCTTGGCTTGGATGTTGTTTGTTTTGGACCTCCATGGATTATATTTTTAGAGAGACTTTGAAGATGCTCAGCTCTCGTTTTCTCTCTTGTGTGGATGATCAAAGCTTATCTGTTTCACCGTGAGTGGTCTCTTTATAACAGAGAAAATAGAAGTTTATAGAATAACCATAATTGATTACAGGCACAGGAAAATTACCAAATTAATGACATAAAATATAAATATAAGAATAGAGGTAAAATTGTATTTTTTTTTATAATTAACCCTAATTTGAAAGGCTAGAATTACTTTTTGCTGTATGGTTGAATAAGAAAGGGATAATTACATGTAGGGAGTTGGGAGAAAAAATTATAAATATATGAGAGATGTAAATATGTCTATGGTGGGATATAAATGAAAGGTTGTGGGGTGTAAGTGTCAGTTGCACCCCTCTAGGTATTGGTAATTTTTTTCTCCAACTTTCATAAGTACGTACTTTTCCCAATAAAAAAATATAATTTATTATTTTAAAAGTGCTACCCATCGTGAAAATGTATTCTAAATTTTATCACAAAAAATGAGTATATAGGTTAACTCGTTTGGAAATATGTTATTTTAATAAATTTTTTTTAATTTTTTGACTAAAATATGAGATAAAAAATTAATATGTTTAAGATGATTGTTTGACATTTTATGAAAAAATGTGTAAAAAGTAGAAAGAAAAAATAAATATTTAACTTTTTTGTATAGGTTGTTAACTTTTTGATTTTTTTAGTGATTTTTAAGCTAAAATATTGAATTGTCAAACGAGATTATTTGAAAATAAACTATTTTAGTAACTTTTTGATTAAAATATAAAGTGAACAAATTAATATATTTAGAATAATTTTTTAATTCTTTTAAAAAAAAGTGTAAAAAATACAGAAGAATATTTTTTATTTATTTTTTTATATAGTTCTTTGACTTTTGATTTATATATATATATATATATATTTAAAAAAAAATTAGTTATTATATTAAGTTTCTAAATTTACCCTTAATGTCTTCTTGGCTACCCTATAATGAATGTAATCCACTGATTCACGTTTCTAAATAATTTTTTTGATAAACATTATGAATTTGTTATTGTTTAAAGATGGCTTGCTAATAGTAAGATATTGTTTAGGATACTCTAAAAAAGTCAAAAAGTTAAAAAATTATTATTCTATTTAAATTATATCATCTTATTTAAATTATATCACCTCTCTACCACATCATTTCAAATTCAATCTATATTTTATAAAAAATTAAAAAATATAATTATTTATATCATTCAAACCACGAGGCTCGTGGACCGAGTGAGGATCCTCTCCTTGCAGCTTCCGTGCTTGCGTTCGTCCTTGTAGGCTTTCGGGTCTATTTTTAGGCCCAATTTTGATAATCCGAACCGTTCATATTTTATGATTTATTCAGTATATCATACCTGTAAAAAATCAAGTTGATCAGATATCAGAAAGCATATGTTCGGAAAACTGTTTATTAAATTCTTTAAAAAATAGTGTTTAGTTCAATTTTTCAAACACATACTTTCTGATATCCGATCAACTTGATTTTTTACAGGTATGATATACTGAATAAATCATAAAATATAAACGGTTCGAATTATTAAAATTGAGCCTAAAATTAGACCAAAAAACCTACAAGAATGGACATAAGCACAAATTTGCAAGGAGAGTCTCCTGACTCTCGTGGACCTCGTAGCATACTCTTAAAATATACTTTTAAAACGGCTTGCTAATAGTTAAGGTTCGTCTCCGCGTGGACCTCGTGATATGCTTATAAAATATAGTTTTAAATTTTTTTATTACTGTTATCCGATCACGCCATCATTATGTTGGGTCAATTTTCGACAATTGAGTGATAAGGAAAAGAACTTCAATCAACGGCTAAGATGACTCATATCCCTATCTACTACCTTATATATATTAATGTTGTATTTAATTGGGATTTGATTTTTTTAATTAAAAAAATGGAGAAAAAAATTATATATTTGGAATTTTTTTTTTACCTTTTTATGAAAAAATGTATAATAAAATATTACAGCAAATATCAAAACTATCAGATTGCCCTCCTAACACAGTCAGCAATACTGCGTTGACTTTCCATGCATTTCAATTTTTTTTTTATGGGAATTTGTGGCTTACATTGTGCCACGTTTTCTTTTTTTATAGGAATTTGCGGCTGCACTGTTTTCATTTATGGGAATTTGTGGCTGCATTTTTTTTTTTTTTACCCCACAGATTTCCCACCAAAATAAGGTGAATAGTATGAACTTTTTTACTTTTTTAGTAACTTTTTGACTTTTTAGCTTTTGTAGGTGATGTCAAACCAGCCCTTAAGAAGAGATTTGGAAAAGAAAATAGAAAAGATATCTGACATATGAATAAAATATAACTACATTTTATTTAGTTTCACACATTTTTTTCATTTTTCTTTTCAAATTCCTCTCCAAATCACTCAATCAACACACAATGTAAATAATTCAAGATTATCCAATTGTACCACCGTTATCGTGGGGCCAATTTTTGACTATGGATTATAAGGAAAGCAAGTTCAATCAACGAAGAATTACATATGTTAAGATTTAGAAAAAATGTTTACAAAAAAAATTAAAATATTTTATTATTTTAATTATTAATATTTATTATTTTATAAAATATTTTTTATGATCCTATACCAATGTGTAATTCTCCCTTCAATCAAGGGCACTAATAGATTGCACATTTAAGGCCATGCTAGAGCCCATATGGACTGTCACTAAAAGATTGTTTACATTTAGAAGATTTTGAATCTCACACATTTGAGGAAATCTGGGACTTTGAACGGAGTATAACCCCACACCATCATTATCGTTGGGCCAATTTTCGACTATTGGGTGATAAGGAAAGGAAGTTCAATCAACGGCTAAGATGACTCATATCCCTACCTACTACCTCCTTCATGATTCATGATTCATGATTATCCAATCGTACCACCATTATCGTGGGGCCAATTTTTGACTATGGAATTATAAGGAGAGCAAGTTCAATCAACGAAGAATTACACGTTAAGTTTTAGAAAAAAATATTTTATTATTTTAATTATTAATATTTATTATTTTTTATAAAATATTTTTTATGATCCTCCCAATGTGTAATTCTCCCTTCAATCAAGCGCACTAATAAATTGCACATTTAAAGCCATGACAGAGCCCATATGGGCGGTCACTAAAAGGTTGTTTACATTTAGACAATTTTGAATCTCAGACAGTTGAGGAAGTCTGAGACTTTGGACGGAGTATAACCCCAAACATCAAGTCTTGACTACTAAGTTAACCCCTTGAGATTCTTGAGACATTATTGAATACAAATTGACCAAAAAATTGTTCTCACCTGATGATGCAGAATGCTTAACCATATAGTTCAAAATTGATGGACAAATAGGGCAAAGGGTAAAAGTATTAGTAGACGCGAAATTTGATCGGAACGTGGAAAATGACGTCACAGTCAATACCCATAACTTTGCAATGGTGTATTATAGATTTCAGTCAAATTCCACCGTTTAGGCCTTCAATTGGTCGATTTTGCCATTTTAGGAAAGATTTGTTTCGTTAACTACTTGGTCTAAACAAATCTATTTGATGTTAAGTTTTTTCCAAAATGCTTAGTTTTCATTATGTTTTCAAGATTTGAGCTTAACTCAGATCTTTCTATTTTTGGTAAATTTTGTATTTATTTGATTTAGGTGCAATTAGCAAGCTTTACATTTTTTGATTTATTTCCTAAGTTGAATTAGGATTAGTTCTATTATAAAAAAGCTTGTAAGGATTAGGGAAAAACAGCTTTGATTTAATGTATAAACTTTGACAGAGATTTCTCTTATTTTTCCTGAGAGGGTAATTTGTAAACAAATTGGGCCGAGCTAGGAAAAGTCTTCTTTGGAAGTTGGGCCGCGCAATGGGCCGGAATAAAGAGCTAGTGTAGCTCGGTCTTGGGCTAGGAAAGAGCTAGGGCCAGGTATAGTATGGGCCGAGGTGATTGGGCTTCATAACTTGGACCTTGCCCCTGTTAGCTCGGTCGGATATGGCTGCAGTTAGCTCGGTCTATGTAGTCCAAACCGAGATATAGGTGGATAAGGACTGAGCTAGGCATTGCCTATGGAAGCACCGGGTTGAGTATGTCAAAGGGCTAGTGTTAGCTCGGTCATACTGTTATTCTACCATGGTAATGCCATCTCACTTGGCTTGCAGTGATGAGACTCCTAGAAGAACTCTGCTAAGGAGAGTAGAGTCCTACTAGGATTGTGCAAACCATCTCACTTGGTTGGTAGTGAGTAGGGTGTGTAATTCCTAGAAGGACTCTTACAAGGAGAGTTGGAATCCTACTAGGATTAGGCCAAGCCAAGTCTATAAAAGCTCATGACCGGACCTATGTACAGGTATCCCAATTTTCACTCTAGAATACACAGAGCTTATTGTCTATTGTCTAGTTACTGACTTAGGCATCGGAGGGGTTTCCGGCACACACCCACCGGTTAGCTCACGTTTGTGTTTTCAGGTAGCAAAGCGAAGATGTTTGGAGGAGCACAAACTTGATCAACAGGATCATACGAGAAGAATTATTTCGTGCTCGTACAATTGTCGCCGTCTGTGGGAATTCCA